CCTCTCGAAGGCGACAGCATTCCAGTTTGTCAATGACCTGTGAGATCGGAATCCCTGGGGGGAGTGTGACAAAGATGGAAGATGGTTCAAAGGTACGTATGATCAATTCGTCGTAATATCGAACTTTCCATTCGTCGCGTTCAAAATGGATGGATTTCAATTGGAAGCACTGTTCTGGCCCAAGAATAACATGGTAAAAAAGCCACTTGTGGTAGTCTTTGTATTTGATAAACTCGTGATGTTGAAGTTCAAGTTTTGCCATACTAGGATTCGTTGTGAAAGCTTCCTGCACAAAGGAGTTGTCACAATAATTGGCCTTTTGTAAGCAATCAATTAAGGAGAGATTCAACTCTTTGGGTGAGAAAAACCATGCAGGTGGTTGGGACGATATGGCAATAATGTTCGTAAAGTCATGCATAGAATCAATAACGGTGGTGCAGAGGTCATAGTATCGTCTTGATGAATATTTTTTTTCGTGTTCGAAAGAGATATGACTGACTCTGCCTTCTTTTGGAATCATTTGTTGGGCAATGACTTTGTTCCAATGGTCCCTTCTGGTTTCAATCTCTGTGAGGGGGATATCAGCACGAAAGGCTTCCGCTGAAGGGCATTGGTGTTGTATCGCAACTTGACAATAGTCAAAATGTAACAAAAGTGGTAGCGAGTCTTCATGTTTGATATCGATGTCAAAACAGAGACATTTCTGCTGCGATAAATCAACTTGACACCAACGGATTGAAAAATTGACAGCACCAAATTTTTGTTTGAGCGATTGGCCTAAGGCTGATTGTTCTAATTGGTCCTCAATGCAAATTGACGGGTGAATCTCGTTCCATAGGATTTGCGCAGGGGCGTACTGGAAGGATCCAATTTTGCCGAATTTGACTTGAAAGTGGTTAAAGTCATTGGCGGTATGAGTGCCTTGTGGGTCAGAGTGCGTCATATGAATAGTGAATGCTCCTTGCTTTGGGCCAATAGGTAAATGGACATCGATTGGAAGAAGGGCCAGGTGAAGGTTAATAACAAGTGACGCGGGTCCAAAAATGGCAAGTCTTTTGTAGTTCATGAAGTGGTACCTCACTTTCAGGTTTGCTAACTGCACAAGGATTTCCAATAGGGCAGCACTTGAGAATGCCTTTAAATCAAGTACCGACATAGTGATTCCATGTGGGAAATGCTCTTGGAACTCTTTGTCATTCCATGGAAAGAAATTTTCCACTTGGCACTCAGCAAGTCCATGCGACCAAGCAGCATCGATGGTTGGCTGCATCACCTTCTCAACAAGTTCGATTGCTGCCAGACTGTCATTGGCAACTTGTACAGTGAGTGAAGTAACATCGACTTTATCTGAGATTCGGTGACATCCATTGGGTCGTCGAAAGTCAATGTAATTAACCACTGAAAGACTTTGTAACTCGTTGACAGTATGGTGACGCTCAACCACTGTTCTGGGGAAAACATACTCAAGAGTTCTGCTAGGTTGGGTCCAGGTTACTTGGCAATGTTCAGCATTCGGTTCGACCTGACATGCAATAAGGTATTTTTCCTGCTTACTACTGGGACAGACGGTAATACCCAAGTTCTGCATGAATCCGATATGCTGGACCTTATCATGAAGAAGATTAAACAACCATGCAGAGGCTTCAAATTCACTGGTGTTACTGGGGCACGTGAAGACAAAATGCACAGAGATGTCTTTGTTGAAACATATGTCTACGAATTTTTGAAGGACATATGCTTTGGGGAGTAATAGGCATAAACCAACTCCTGTATCACTGTGGTCAAAGGCTTCTTCATAAGTAATCACTGTGCCAGAATATCTATTAGGATCGATGTCACTGGGGCAGTTGGCAACAAACAGGTGTTCTTTGCCAAGGCTCGACACGAGTTCAATGGCTTGTTGTTCAACAGTATCATAAGAGTTCAGATCCATGGAGTCAACTATAACCCAGAGTACCCCTGGGTATAGTGACCACACAGATACAGAACAGGCAGGTACACTGGACAGAAAGAGACAATACACAAACAAAAGGCAGACAACAAAAACAGAAACACAAAGACTACACTGGGTACCCCAGCGAGCCAATGGCAAGAACAAGAACAAACACAAGAGAGAAATACACTGGGTACCCCAGGACTTCTCAAGTGTTAAACAAGGTTCAAAACTGGTTTGTTCAGCAAGCACAACCAATGCAAAACTAAACAAACAAGAGAGGGTAAATCTTAAAGACCGAAACCAAGAGAAACCCCCCCTTCCCCGATACACTTATAAACAAAAACCAGGTTGACGGGCACTTTGTGCTCTTCCTACAGCAGTACTACCCTAGCCCCTTTATACTGGATCCCTTGAAATTAACTCAAGCAAAGCACCCAAGTTGGATGTTTGCACCCACGAGTTAAAATCAAGTTAGCCAGTCCCACGGGGTTTGAGCCGATACAGCTTGAGCCAAAGGGGGTTGCGGATGCACAGAGTCTTATCTTCCTGCAGGACTCTGTGTCCCAATTGTCGCGCACCCAACAGGCAATGGAAGAAACCTATGCCTTGCGATTGCACACCAGACCCGTTGCAGGCATCATTAGTGAGCAAGAATGCAGAGCCCTTCGCACAGCTGGTTGCTGCTTGAATAGTCTGCGAATTCGGGTGGAAGCCCGCACCAATATGATAGAACGAGCAGTCATCGACCGACAACTGCTGCTTATGCAACATGGTGTGGAACATCACCCTATAGAGGAACTCGACACTGCTGACACAAGCTGTCCATCAAGAACCTCTGCAGAACATTTTGATACCTGTACAGACCCCTGCCTGAACAATCCAAACAGGTGACTGGTTGCATACCAACACCAGTGCAGTCCAATCTGCATCCATTGCAACTTGAGCGTATCGGCTCAACCCGTGAGACTGGCTAACTTGATTTTAACTCGTGGGTGCAACGTCCAACTTGGGTGCTTTGCTTGAGTTGGATACTGACCAGTTACAATGCACTCACTTCAGCACTGGCTTTGTGAGTGGTACAGCATGACAAGACAGCTATTCTGCTGCTCCCTTTGCCGCTCAGAACGGATGCAACCAGTTACCACAGGTGACATCATGATGCTTGGAAAAGAACTCCTGAGTGGACTCTGAGAGTGCCCTGAGCATAGTGCCGCTTCTTTCTTTTTCACCCTAGATCATGTCTCACCACCGGTTTCACCATTCCCGCCTTTTCACCACTCTCGTTGCGACCCGGCGTTGTCGGTGTTTGCTTCGGAGTGCGAGGGTGACAAGTCATGCCTTAATGGCTGCTCCTTGTGATCTCGGGGATCCTGGCTGGGGGGATCCCTGGTTTCCGCATCGAGCTGTGTTGTTTTCTTCGCCCTTTTGTATGGCCCTGTTTGTGTTCGTTGTGTTTCTGTTTGTGGTTTTGCTTTGGCCATACTTCGATGACACACAAGATGTTATCGCGTAGTGAATTGCCGTAGCTGACCGATGTCCCACATCAGGGGTTTGTGCTTTCTGTTGTCGTTGTTTTTTGTTTGGTTTTGGGTTGGTTGTTTTTGTTTGTTGCCTTGTTGTTTTTTGCTTTGTGTTTGGTTCTTCTTGTTCGGTTTTGCCGTGTGTTGCCCTTGTTTGATGGGACAGTCCACTGGACTACGTACAGGCCCTGGTCAGCCATCTTTTGAGGCTATCTGAATAAGACCGCCCTGCATGTTAATTTGTTAATTCAACCGTTGCAGCAATATGACATGTTTAACGACCTGGCGAAAGCCATGAAGGCGTTGGACGGAAAAAAAGGAGGTCGACTTAGAACCCTTATCGGCGCATCTTTCCAACTGGCAAAGTGCGGAGGATGACCTGACTTTAACAAGACAATGCGTCTCATCCACGAAGTGCGGAGTGAATGAAACCAGTCCTTCTCTTGTCTCTGATCCAGACTCCAATCTGGATGAGAGAACGCTCCACCACCATCAATTTGAGCAAAAGGGTAATCCGATAATTGTTTGATAGGCATTAGATGATTCAATGAGGACCAATGTAAGTCCACCGGGGAGTTGTCCAACAAAGGTCCCACCAAGCCTGCAAATTTCTGTGCCAATGGGGTTGGATACTGGGCTGTAGCTCGACTAGCATAAGCCCCTGTATCATCTCGGAGACCTTGAAGTCGTACATGCGAATCAGGAGGGTGATGACAAAGACCGCCCAATGCCCGAAGTCCTGAAAAACCGGAAGCAAACATCCACGCTTTATAAATATCCAAACCATAGTTGCAAGCCGCAATATTGATGCAATAGGCCCCAATCAGTTGGAGAAATTGTCGAACGACCGGTTCTAGCCAGGACATTGCATTCAAGGGTTGCTCCAAATGAACATGGCCACCTGAAAGAAATACCAAAGTGAGAACTTCAACACAGCGTGATAGCATAAGAAAGCTTTCTTGAACACGTTGAAGCTCCCACGCATTGAGATTCGGTAGTCCGGATAGATGTTCCGGAGAGCGGAGGGCTTTCGGACCATTGTCTTGTCGAAGCTTGAGTCGGCTGTATTCGCAGCATGATGGACTAGCTGCCCCATAACCGACCTTGCCACTCGCTGCAACCCGTAATAAATCTTCAAACGGACCCTCTTCCAAGAGGTCCAATGATGAATCCAATAAAATATCAAATGAAAGAACTGGATGTCCCTGATCAAGAAGAGCCATGGATAACGGTCGTGTAACGCCAGAGTAAATATCCAAAAAAATCTTGCCCGCAGGAATATTAGTCAAAGCCGAAGTGGAAATAGATGAAGGAATTGTAGTTGAGGGAGGCCCATCTTCCCCCAATGGGAAAGTAGCGCCATTGTGGATCTGCTCCTTTGTCTCCGGTGGAGGTGAGGGCGAACGGCCCTGTTGACATGATGCATTCTGTTGAACCGAGTTTTGAACTGAGTCCACCAGGTCCATGAGGTCTGTCAATAAAGGATCTGCCTCGATGTTTTGGTCATGCATGGTGAAAACTGTTTCTGGATCCCCTTCAGGGAGTCAGTGAGGCGTCGCAAAGTGCGACATCGCCCCATGATTCTTGCCACAGGCTTTCCCCTCCACAGGATAAGCACACACATGTTGGAAGCCACAAGTAGGATTCTGGCAGCGGCCCATCTGAAATCGCATGCAGAGTTGCTTGAAGTTCCCATCCTTTTGAATTTCGGTGATCCATTGGGTTCGGCCTTTGGATTTGCCCGCATTGTGTTTGCCCTTAGACTTGCCCTGACCTTTGCCTTTCGGTCCCTCCGATCTCGGAGAGGATGCTTGTGGTGAAGGAGCCGTCGGAAGGCGAAGTGCTCGAGGACGTGGTTGTAGCAAACTGGGTAGGTCGTGACGGAGATTGGTCATCTCGTGCAAGCAATCATCCATGGCCCAACCCTTCTCCATAAGTTCTGCAATTACGGTCCAAACCTTCTGGTCCGCAGACTGAGCTTCTAAGATACTAGGGTTCCTGAGGTCACCCTCATATTTGGCTGTCAAGAAGCCCAAGAACTTGTGGGTATAAGCCTTGAGATTGGCCAGGTGCGCGCCTTGGCACAAGGCAATAGCTCGATCGTGAACTTCGAGCATGTTGCGGATGGAATTGACTCCCATGGAGTTGTTGGAGATGTCCAAAGAAGGAGGATCATCGAGTAATAGGGCGTGTAGGCCAAGAGTATCCAACCGAGGCATCTTCTGAGCTCGATTGCCGGAGATCTCTTCCGACTTAGTCAGGGAGATGCGATACTTCCATGGGATCCATTTCCATGTTTTCTTGGTGAGCTGATCATGCACCAAGCTCACAAGGCGAGTGGATGGAAAAACATCTGCATGAATAAGTTCGGACGGATAGTTGGAGATGAACTTCTGCTTCATGGCCAAGAGGACTCCACTTTCCAACTTGGGGGGAATGACTCCACCCAAGATCCTGCTGCTGGATTGGTGGTCACCGCTGGCGTAGGAGTGGAGGAAGTGGGTCCCTGGAAAGGCTGTAGAGATTGAAAAGCTGTACGTAGACAGGCCTTCTGAAATGTTGACAAAGTATGTGAAGGATGACCACTCGTGAAGGACATCTTCAAAACCTTGGGAATCTGCTGCAGCCATGCGAAACGTTTGGCACGTCCAACCTTCCATCATTAAGGCATTCGTGAGGTTGGAGTCGACCCCACTCTTGGTCAGGATATCCTCCAAGGTCTCGGACGCCATGGCAACGTAAGGCTAGAGGCTGTAGCGCTCCCCCGGTGAGAAATACAAAAAGATGCCCTTACTTTGGGGGATGAAAAGAAAATGAAATGACAAAATAAGACCCCAAATACTTTGTGCAATTGCGTTGCACAAAAATGATAACCTTGTGCAATTGCGTTGCACAATCTTGACAAACCAGTGCAAATGCTTTGCACATAAATGATAACTTCGTGCAAATGCGATGCACGATATGGATAAAAGGTGCAATTGCGTTGCACCATTGTGATATGGTAGTGCAAATGCGTTGCACTACTATGATAATCTTGTGCAAGGTATTGCACAAACACGCATAAGTGTATTGCATAAACATAACAATCAGTGCAAATGCGTTGCACTACATAATAATTAGTGCAATTGCGTTGCACTACTGATAGGTGCCCCACCGGGTGCACTCGAGCCATCTGCGGATGACTTCTTTCTTCATGCAGGCATGCATGAAACGCACATGACAGGTATGCCATGTTTGGGACTCACTGCGAGAGTACCCGTTCAACTCACGGTTGAATCACATGTCAATCGCGATGACATGTAGGGGAATCCTCCCCTTTTGAAACGCACACCAAAATAAAGCCCATAGCTTTGGGGAAAAATAAAACTTGCAGATTGAGGTCACCGACCCATGAAAAACCACAAAAACAGGCGCAATACCAATTTTTTAAACCCGCCTGATATAGGATCTATCCAGACCCTTGCAGTAGTTGGCAAGCACGCCAAACTTTCCTGCACGCTGCATGCTGGCAAAACGGCATGGAGGTATCTAATCTATCCAAGTTTTAGCCTCCACTCCACGCACTTGGCGTCCACATGCCGGTTTGAGTGGCTGTCCCTGCCAACGAGGACGCCAGTCTTCATCATCGCCAGCCTTGACCAGTGCATGAACCACTGAACGGTATCGTCCCACCAGGACCTCATCCATCTCCATGGGCCCAAGATCAACTTTGGAGGTCTTGGGTTGTGGTTCCACCACCTCTTCTTCGGAAGAGGAATCGGAAGAACTGTCCGAGCTGTCGTCGGAGGATTCGAATTTTTCTGGAGAGATAGTCTCCGCTGCTGCATTGAAATTGAACCATTGAAAATCAAACGGTTGGAGGGGCTTCACAAACTTCTCCAGTACCACAAGAGGTTCCACCATAGGAGCTTGGCTGCCCCTATGCTGAGCAATGGCTGGTCGCCATCCGTTCTGTACCTCATGGATCATCTTACGCTGGTAGGTCAGAGAAGTCCATACCACATCACGAGAGTATGTGTCCAAACTGCTGTTTGGATCTGAATGGTGGCCTTGTGATAGCCGTTGCTCCGGTGTAACTTTCTCATGCAGTTGTGGACCCCATGACAATAAGGTGGCTTTGAGTGAATGCAGTGTGAAGTTCAACTTCAAGTCCTGCAATGGATCGGACCTCTGTCGCCACGGACAGCCCAGGAACTTACGGAGGTAAAATAATGCTGTTGCGTAGTCCATGGGAACTAACGGATACACTGGGCCCTGGTCATCAACCAGAGGAAGCAACAAATCCAAGTCAGATAAACCTGATCGTTCCAATACTGCATCCAATACCGTTAAAAATCGCCACAACCAGTTGTGTGTTCCTTTGCTAAGAAAGCCCTCAGCTGCAATAGCCAGGGGCATTCCGCTGACTGCAGTTTTGGATCGCCAGGTAACACCTCTCATACCTCCCTCATAGTTTGGTCAGAGCTACAACATCTGATTCTACAACGATGCTAGCTCTTCACCAACAATTAAAAGAGCAACATCACCAAGAATGGTTGCACTTGCTCGAGACAGCCGGTGATGCTAGCGACTTGGTGAAGGCTACACGCGACAGTCCTAGCGATGCAGTTCACCGCTCCCGGGTCATTGCGAAATTCGCCCCATCTACATTGGCGGCCTACTTCCGATGTTGGAACCATTGGGTTGACTTTTGCCTGCTACATGATGCCAGCCCATATCATCCACCCACGGTGTTGTTGGCAGATTTTTTGCAAGTCTCATCCCAGAGAAGTGCCCTTGGCGTTGCAACAGCCCAATCAAGGGCCTTGCACTGGATTACGAAATATGCGGGATTTCCCTTGCTTAAACAAGGCTACGGCGCGGTTAGCGACCCGGGGTAATTCATTGATTTTTCATGATGCTTGGTTCACCAAATCATGGTATTTGCAAGGTTTTGTAAAAACGTGATAAAAACGTCAAATCGTAGTTACTTTGGGGCCTACTACCAAAAGTGCGTTTCGTGTGAATGAAGCGTTCATCGATTTTCAATACCCCTGAAACGAATTATTGTTTTTTTTTCGTTTTGTTGGAGAAATTTAGTTACATCTGACCACCAGTCATTGAGCAACACTTCTTTTTCAACTCACCCTTGCAAGTTCTTCAGCGTCGACTCTTCTTGGCCAGCTTTCCCAGTTCCTTCCACAGGTTATGACCTGAGTTGCGTCTGTACATGAAGGCTTTAATCTAGTCCAGCAAGCGCCGGTCGACACGGCGATCTAACATCCCCACCCCACCCCAACCCACTGACGTGACGTCAGTTATGCATGTGACGCAAGTTAACATGAACGTTAACATCCCCACCCCAACCCAACCCAGTGACGTGACGTCAGTTGTGCATGTGACGCAAGTTAACATGAACGTTAACATCCCCACCCCAACCCAACCCAGTGACGTGACGTCAGTTGTGCATGTGACGCAAGTTAACATGAACGTTAACATCCCCATCCCCACCCCAACCCAGTGACGTGACGTCAGTTGTGCATGTGACGCAAGTTAACATGAACGTTAACATCCCCACCCCACCCCAACCCAGTGACGTGACGTCAGTTGTGCATGTGACGCAAGTTAACATGAACGTTAACATCCCCACCCCACCCCAACCCAGTGACGTGACGTCAGTTGTGCATGTGACGCAAGTTAACATGAACGTTAACATCCCCACCCCATCCCAACGCAGTGACGTGACGTCAGTTGTGCATGTGACGCAAGTTAACATGAACGTTAACATCCCCACCCCACCCCAACCCAGTGACGTGACGTCAGTTGTGCATGTGACGCAAGTTAACATGAACATTAACATCCCCACCCCACCCCAACCCAGTGACGTGACGTCAGTTGTGCATGCATGAATTTCAAGAGCAACTTGCCTCCAATCAGCAAAAATGCCAAAAACGCAGGGGTCGTTAATGGCGCCGTAGGCTTAAACAAGCACTTGAAGCTCCAATCACGAGGGCCTACACCATCCCAACAGAAGTGGCCCCGAGGAAGGAAGCGGCACCCTTACCACTTAGCTTCGTGGTCCACCTTGAGTCATGTCTTCTCAAAGACACTGGGACACCTGCTGACTGCCTCCTCATGGGCTCCATCTTAGTCTTGGTGTGGTCATCCCTCCGATGGAGCGACGCTCTCTGGGTTTCGCCATGTGATCTAGTGGAAGATTCAGACATTATCAGGGGTGTTGCAGCCAAAACTAAAACGACTTCCCGTGGAATGCCCTTCGCCTTCGTGAAGTCCGGCTTGCTTGCAGTGAATGCGCAAGTGTCCTGGTCAACCAAGTGGCTGAATTTGGTCCGACAGGCATTGCAGAGAAATTCTGAGCTGTTTGCAGGCTTCAATCCAGACTTCCTGATACCACAATGTGGTTGTTGCTGCAGTCACATCGTGATGCTTCGGTTCTCAGTGTGGGTGTTCATTCACCCAAGGTGACGTTGCTCAGCTGGGCGAGGCAAATAGGCGCCTCTGAAGAACTTCGTATGGCCCAAGGACACCATCGTCAATTTGGTGCCAAGTTCAATGTTGCTCTATATGGCCGAGACGATGTCCATCCTGCGTTTCAACTGCAACTTCAGTCAGATTATCCAGAGGATCTCTGCAGGCTTTCGTCCGGTTATACCCCTTTTACGGGGTGGTGCGAAGCCTGTTTCAGATCGCCCTGTATCTCTGCCAGCGGTTGCTGATCATGTACCTGTTGCCATTCTTAATACGAACCTGGTGCTGGACAAGGACCTTACTCACAAGCACCATGCCTTGTGCCGTGACATCAGACTGGTGAGAGTTGCAAATACGCATGTGAACTCTGTTCCTGACATCCACAAACTGCATTTGCGTTCTAGGCGTGTATCGGTGGGCATCATTGACTCATCATCTCCCAATCGCTTATTGGAATGCGATGCTCATGCCGCGTTGCATGCCTGGGAGCAGCTCCTGACGTCAACACCCTTTTTCATTGTCTATGTCACCACCCACACCCATCGAAGTTTCAGCCACTGCGGACGCCATGGCTTCCAAGAATCTAGCGGGCCTGGGTGGAGCTGCTTTCTTTCCCGACGGTTCCTGTGTTTGGTTTCAATTCCAAATCACTCTGGAAGAGGCGTCAACACATTGGGCATGGGTTGACCAGGATATGCAGAAGCACATCGGAGCTTGGGAGTACTGCATCGAAGCTACCTTGCCAAGCTGCAGAAATGTTGTCTCCTGCATCCAAGGCAGTGACAACAGTGCAGCCGATGCAGCCAGTGCAAAAGGGCTGTCTATGACACCGGCCACGGCTTGCGTCCTTGCCCCTTTCTTTGCATTCATGCATCGCTGTCAGATCTATCCTAAGATCACGCACATCCCAGGTCATCTCAATGACATTGCAGATGGGTTGAGCAGACTCAAGCAGCCTCTTCCTGAACCCCTCTCACGGTCCAACCAGTGTGAGGTGCGGTGGCAGAGCCTGCTTGATCCTGCCAAAATCTTCATAGCTCAGACCGGCCGAAAATGGCCTGTGAAGTTTGACTTGGGCGGAAAAAGGGTGCTTGCAGTGGTCCACAGACTAAGGGTTCATCAATCGATCATTTGTTGGGGAGTCGCACTCCGGCTGGTCGATTTTCGATCCTGTTTTGGTGTTTCAGGTACTCCCCACAATTTCACACAACCTGCTACTGCCCCGTTTGTTTCGGGTGTGTACGTTTAGGTTGTTTATGGGGGTGCCACTGATCTGTATAGATATTGTCTGTACTTTGGTTCAACCCGCTGGTACCACAATAGTAGTACAGAACTTCAGATCCGCTTTGCACCAAGTCTAAGCAATATGCTGAACCCTGCTTCTGCACTGCACCCATACCTAAGTCAACATGTACTTTAGTTTGTGAAAGCTGAAGCAACGGAAGTCGCACTGTGAACGTGTTTTGTACTTGTACATATGTGTTCACAGGTAGAACCCGGAACTTCTGTGATCCGTTGCCGTTTTTGCTTCAAGCTTTCACACGTTCTGTCTTCCCTCCACCATGCCCTTTGCTCCACCATACGTGGCTATGCAGGTGGTGAGTAGTGTTTCAGGTACTCCCCACAATTTCACACAACCTGTTACTGCCCCGTTTGTTTCGGGTGTGTACGTTTAGGTTGTTATGGGGGTGCCACTGATTTGTATAGATATTGTCTGTACTTTGGTTCAACCCGCTGGTACCACAATAGTAGTACCGAACTTCAGATCCGCTTTGCACCAAGTCTAAAAAATATGCTGAACCCTGCTTCCATACCTAAGTCAACATGTACTTTAGTTTGTGAAAGCTGAAGCAACGGAAGTCGCACTGTGAACGTTAAGCAACTCTTGGATGAGATGTGGTGCTTTAGCATTGGTGAGCAGATCTCGCAATCAACGCACGAGTTTTTAGGTGAACAGATTCTTCGAAAGCCTTTGGACGACTTGCAACTGAGCCCAATAGCCGTGAGACACTAGCCGAGTGTCTGCAGTTTGCAATTTGGATGTAGCAACCTTTAGTCAAAAACTTAGGTTGAGGCGGGGTGATCGGATTTGACCTGATCCACATCCCATATATATCAGTGTAAACACTTGCATGCATTGGCATTTCACTTGAACTTGTGACTTCAACATGTCGTCATTTGCAGTTGCCATGACATGCATGTACAGTTGAATCATACATATATCCACAGGCGTTTCGCTTTCAAGGAAAAAAACAATTTTTGAATTTGCAACGGATTCGATCCATGTATACATGCAAATACACAATATGGATATATGGACATGTTTGTTTTCCTTTCCTGTGAGTCCTCAATTTGGTTTCTTTCCGTCAGGAGCGGTTTCATTCGCCATCTTGATTTCCACTAAATATAACCTATTGATTTCTATAGTATAGCAGTTGGGTACCGCGGTTTCGACCAGGAGCAAACAGAAGCGTGCTCGGCCCAATCGGTTGACATGCAGCCATTTGAGATCGCTGAAAAAAATTGATTGGGTGCGATCTCGACGATGGGTGCGTGTCTCTGCTCTGCCCAGCAGCACTGTCTCGTTTTTGGTTTTGAGATGTCCCGATATTTTGTCGTCAATCTCTTTCTGTCTTGAGACCCTGGATACTTTATGCTTCCCATGCTTCCGATGCTTCCTGCATTAGTGAGTCCAGAGTCTAAACATGTCCAAATTTCAAGAAACGGCCGTCACCTTCGCCAGGATCATGACGAGGACCCAG